GTGTGCATAAAAATGAAATGTAATCCTTCGCTAAGAAATAATAGCTATAGCCATTATGATTATATATAGCCATGTATGCTTTCAGACTTTATGTGTGTTTTATATGTGATTATATCATAGCTATATATATATATAGCTATCATAACTAATATATAGCTATATTATTATATAGCCATGTATGTGTTCAGACTTTACATGTGTGTTTTATGTGATTATATCATGCATAATCCTCACAAGGCAGAATATACTCACATGCCATTTTAATAACTTGATTTCCCTTTTACATTTATTTATTTTATCTATTATTTATTTATTTATTTATTTATTTGTGTGTGTGTGGACATGTGTGAATGCTATAGCAGACCTGTGTAGGTCAGAGGACAACGCGCTGGAATCCATTCTGTTCCCACCTTCCACCACGTGAGTCTGAGGGATTGAACTCAGGTCGTCAGGCTTGGTAGCCAGTGCCTGTACCCACTGAGCCATCTTTCTGACATAACTTGATTTCTTGAATTGACACTATATCAGGCACGTTACCATGTCAAAATTATACCTATAGCCAGACACGGTGGCGCACATCTTTAGTCCCAGCACTCGGGGGCAGAGGCAGGCAGATCTCGGTGAGATGAGGGCTAGGGTGGTCTATATAATGAGTTCTAGGTCAGCTGGAAATTTTTTCTATGATCATATCATGATCCATTTAACCTCCTCATGACAGACATGAGAGCCATTTCTACTCTTCTTAACAAGTTCTTGCTACAGTGACTCACCTAGTAGGTCAGCTGGAAATTTTTTCTATGATCATATCATGATCCATTTAACCTCATGACAGACATGAGAGCCATTTCTAGTCTTCTTAACAAGTTCTTGCTACAGTGATTCACCTAGTTGCATGATTACTGTTATTTTGGTTGTAATAGGGAGCAATCTGAATCTTTCTGAAATCACTCCCCAAGGCCTCTGTCTTAAAGGCTCCATCCCCAAGCTGTGACACTGTTGGGAAATGATGGAACCTTTCAGAGGTGGGTCCAGCTGGAACGCAGTTAGGTCATGGGGGGGTGAGACTTTGAAGGGGACATGGGGACCCTGTCCCTTTCTTCAGCTTCATGGTTTTCATGAGATAGGCAGTCCTTTTCTGCCACAGGCTCCTGCCACAGTCTACTTCTGCCACGGTCTACAGGATCACGAATGCATGGACTTGAACCTTCAACACTATGAGTCAGAATGGGCTTTGCTCTTTTAAATTGTTTATGTGTTTCCTCACAGTGATGGGAAGCAAACACACCAGCTCTAATATTAAGAAATGCCTTCAAATTTATATTAAATTAGCTTCTGGGGAAAAAAATCACTGGATCACAAAAAGTACACATTTGATAAATATTTGGTAAAACCTTGTAAACATCATATTATACTGCCACCAAGAACAAATGGGGCACTTATGTCTCACTCTACTGAACCCTGGACATTTTAATATTTTTAATTTATTTGACCAACTGATAGGCAAAAAATAATGTTTTTAATTTACATTTTCTTTTTAACTGTAGCAGCAGGTCTTTTTTTTTTCTATTGCCATGGGACACAGCATTATGTTATTATCTACTTATGACTTTGGCCTTGTTTTGTATTGGACAAAAACTATCTTTTTACATTTATTTACTGTGTGTATGTGTGTGCACTCATGCCCATGCGCCACAGCATGTGTGGACGGGCCAGAGGACAACTTTATGGAGCTGATTTTCTCCTTCCATCTTTAAGTGGGTTGTAGAGATCCAATTCAGGTTGCCAGGCTTTCAAGGGCGCACCTTCTTCCTGGTCCCTTTCGTCTTTCCTCCCCTTCCCCTTCCTTCCTTCTTTCCTTCCTTCTCTCTTTGAAGTTATTGTTGTATCTATCCGTGTGTGTGATGTAGAGATAGAGATAGAAATGATGGGGGCACATTACATACATGCAGAAATAAGAGAAAAATTTTGTGGAATCAGTTCTTTCCTTCCATCTTTATGTGGGTTCTGGGGACTGAACTCAGGTTGCCAGACTTTACCAGTGCCTTTACCTCTGATGGTAAGATTCCTTGATGCTTCTGTTATGGTTTTGATTTAGCTATCATGTTTAGAAAATGCTGTTACCCCATAAGTCTATAAACATACTCCATTACTTTTAAATTTTTATCTTGCACATACACAATCTTCAGTGTCTCAGAAGTCTTTTGGACATAAACACCCAGTTTATACTTTTATGAATGGCACTTTGCTTAATTCCATACAATTTGCTTAATAATTCATTTTTCTGCTATTGACTTGAAATTCTATCTCTGTCTTATTAAAAATCTGTTTTGTGGTGCAAACCTGAAATCCCAGCTATTCAAGAAGTCAAGAAAAAAAGATTGCAAGTTCATGACCTGTCTGGGCTACAGGGTGAGTCCAAGGCCACCCTGGGCAACTTACTGAGACTCTGTCTCAGAATTTTAAAACAGATAAATATAAGAGGACTGGGGTTATAACTCAGGGTTCAAATATTTGTCTCATGTTCATATGACCCTAGACTCCATCACTAACACTAAAAAAAATATAATTGGATTTATTTCTGCCTAATTTTTTGGCCAGTCTACATTTTTCTAATGATGTCATTATCCTCATGAATTTATTCTAATATTTTCCCTAGATATATTTTATACAATTATATAGCAAATTGTTTAATCCTGAGTAAGGTTTGATTTTTATTTTATGTGCATGTGTGTATTGCCTACCTGTGTGTAAGTACACTCATGTCATGCAGTGCCCAGGAAGGTCAGAGGAGGGCATTGGATCTCTCTGGAACTGGAGTTATGGATGGTTGTTAGCTGCTGTCCTAGTTTGTTTCTCCATTGCTGTGACAAAACACTCTGACCAATACCAAGTTGAGGAGGAAAGGGTTTATTTAGCTTACATCTCCAGGATCACAATTCATCAGGGAGCCCAAGGTAGGAACTCAGGGCAGAAACCTGGAGTCAGGAGCTGGAGCACAGGCCATGGAGGATCACTGCTTACTGACTTACTCCCCAGGCTCCTGCTTAGCCTGATTTCATATGCTCATAACCACTGAGTCATTTCTCCATCTCTAAAGCTTGATATTTTTAAATAAATATTTCACTTGCCATTAAGCTTCTAGGCATAGTTTAAAGTAGGTTTCTTATTAAAAATTTAAGTTAGTGCACATTTACTTAAGAATTAAAACTACTAGAAAGTTTAAATGCACTGGAATAATCTTAAGATTCAGAATGTAACAAGTTCATAAATTTATTGTATGATAATTTTGCTAGAAACTGAAAATATGAAAACTATTTTGAAATAATTGGCCTTAAAGTTGCAAAAAGTGTCCTACTTTATCCCACACCACACACAAAACTAAGTTTCAGCTGAGTTGCAAATATAAATATAAGAGGATTATAAAAGTTTAGAGAATGTTGTTTACCCCATAAGTCTATAAGCATACTCTGGAAATTCAGGAAATATTTTCAGGAGGAGGAAGGCAGTTATGATCAAGGCGCAAGAGGCAGAGACTGAAAATAAATATTTACAGGATTGACTCTCACAAACATGAGCACAACTTCCAATGGGTCCATTAGATCTGTTAAATGGATGAGCCAGAGCTGACTGTCAGATATTGCTGGAGGTCCATTCATTTTCATGTGTATTTTTATCAGAACTACTACTTTAATGAACAGGTCTGTTAGGCAAAGATTGTCTCTGAATAATCTTTATAGACTGAAATTTGGGGTGTGACATTTTTTGTTTGAAGTAAATGGGTCCCTGGCTCAGGGTGATAAAACTTACTGTTACAGAAGCCCTTTTAAAAACAGCCTTTTAAAAACTTTCTTAATGAAAGTAAAGATTTAGAGAATTTTATGATTTTTTTTCTTCACCACCTGGTTCTTTCTTCTCCCTTCCCAATACAACAGTCTTTTTAGCAAAGTCTAAGAATTTTTTAAGTTACTGAGGTTAAAATTACAGCTTGGATTCAAATTTACCAGGTGTGTCAGGCAGATCTTTTGCAGGGGAAATGTCCCTGAAGTCTGACCTGTTGTGATTAAGGGTTTCTCTCTTCCTCCTCCAAGTTTCTAGGATTTCTCAACTATCTGTAATAATTATAGCCCATAAATTTTATCAACTCTTTCCTGAATCTATTTCTTTAATCTACACAGTTCCTGAAATAATGAGTTCTCAGTTATGTGTAGGCCCTAGAAACACAAGACCAAAGAGTTCTGGACGTCTTTGTCGTTGTTGTTGACGACGACGATGACGACGATGATGAACCTCTTGTTAATTTGGTTTTTGTTTGTTCATAATTATCCAAAGCCAGCTCTTACAGAAACAAAGTTGGTTATGAAGAATCAGGAGATCTAGCAACAATCCCAGGTGGAAAAGAAGAGAAATAGACCATGAGAAAGGAGTTAGCTTTCTAAAAATGTGAGGCATGGCTTTTTGTTTTTGTTAGGTCAAGAAATGGAATGTGTGCCTTCAAAACTAGACACTCCTGTTATGACTGACATTGGAAACATTTTTTTTTCAGATACCAGGGCATTATCCACAGATGCCAAATTGCCCAAAATGTCTGTAGAAAATCTGGTGCTACTTTCAAAGGCAGAATGATTTGTCAGTAAGTGCTGTGGCAAAGTGGTCAAACTAAGGTGTCATACTCAGTCTCCAATAGCTCAATTCAAAAGGCATTTTTAAAAATATAGTCACTAGAAAGGGAAAGGAAGCCGCAGATTCCAAACACCCTTTAGAATTTTATTTTCACCAAACAGAGTCCCCACCATCTAATAAAATGTTGCATTAATAGGGGTGTTGTGTCTATGGGGTCATAGAGTGAGATTTCCCGACTTCTCATAGCTTTCGTAAGGAAAGGGGAAGGAAACACCTCCTTCATGACTCTCGACCTTCCTAAGAGTGGTTGGTGTTAAAGTGGGGTCAAGGATCCAGCTCAGGCAGTAAAAATCACACAAGGCACAACAGACTGTACTCACTCATTGGGGGTGCCCTTCTGGCCACAAAAGTGTCCCTCGCTGTCTGTAGGATAGGCCACTCTCCTGGGGTCGCCATGGATCCAGGCTGCAGGGACAAGAAAGGACCAAATCTCCATGAACAACACGTGGCTGAAGGCAGCCTGACTGGAGATTAAAATCCCCACAGCACGCTCACCTCTCCCCTCAGTCACAGAACAGTATTGATTTTCTTCAGAGTAATTCCTTAATGAAAAGTAAAATAAAATATGGATGAATCAGTCTGAAAGCACATTTCTCCTCTCTCAAGATTCAGCTGGGTTTCAGCCAAAGATGAGGTAATGCACTTAGAAAATGACAGTTATTAAAATGTGACCAAGAGGGCACCAGACAAAAGCTTGCTGGGATAAGGAGGCGCCTTTTCTAAAGTGAAAGCCAAAATGACTTCATACCGGGGCTGGTACATTTACAACCAAGCAGGATGATGTAATGCTTTGGGGGTCTGTAGAATGAAAAACACTTAAAAATTCAAAGGAGTGAACCAATTGGTTCTCTCATTTCATAGGACATTAGGAAGGCACACAGGGCACAGCAGAGGTAATGCACAGCAAAGATTTGCCGTGTATTTGTCTAATAATCTTAAAGTTTAATACAAAAACACCACATGCTCCCCAACTTCAGGAGAACTAAGGACTCGGTTGCATTTTCTTTGGAGATGCTGGGCTCTGCTTCATACAAACACATCACTTCATTTTGTTTATTTTACACAAAGTATAAATGTGGCCCAACAGCTGGACTATAAACCCACAGAAAATAATAGCCACCAGCTAAGTTAACTAATGCTTCCTAATTTAGCTGAAAATTTCCACCTTTTCTAGTTTGAATAGCGCTGTTGTTAGGAATCTAGGAAATGTACACTGGTGATTGAATGCTTGCCCCTGCGACAGAAACACCCCCGTTTTCTCCAGCTTTGCCCAGCTATCTCCTTCCCCACATTTACTGGATTTGACAGTTCACATTATAATTCAGTCACCCCTATGTATGTGACTGGTGTGACTTGCGATGATAAAAAAAAAAAAAATCAGTCCTCCGAATGAGAATTGGAATATGGAAGAGGACTTTTCTTATTAATCCAAGTTTTTCCATTCAGTATCTAGGCACCCAGAAAGATCTCCTTTGTCTAAGTCTCCCTCCCTCCGGCGTCATAGAGGCGAATCAGCTTCATCTTCTAATGCTGTATTAGGAGATTCGGCTTCTGTGGCCACAGCTCCCAGCTGCCATGTCTCCCTGTCTGTATTTCCCAGCATAAAGAAAGCAGACTACAAAAACGTGTGCAAATGACACCGAGCATTCAAAGTGTATTGTCTTCACCACATTCTGTTGTTATGTTTCAGCTTGTCACATGTTCCTAAATTAGGGAGAGATCCAATTGCATCCAACTCTATTTTCTAATGGTTTCTCTAAGCTTTATCATAAAATATCTTAGCCTTTTTCTAAATAATTATTACCTGAGAAATAAGCATCTATTTCTTTTGAAATATAATTTTTCTTAATTCTTGAGTATTTCGTACACTTACGCGATGAAATATGATCCATTCACTCCCCATTTCCCTCTTCCAACACCCCCAACCTCCCCATCCCCAGCTCCTCCAACCACCAAATTCCTCACCCCCCGACCCTCACGTCTCCTCCAGTACATCCCCTCTCTGTCTTCATTTGTTTTGTTTTTGGATAACCCTCTAAACCCAATTATTGCTGTCTGTATATGCATGGACGTGGGGCCATTTGCTGGAGCACAGGCAGCCTACCAGCAGCCACAGCTCAAAAAAGAACTTTTCCTTGCTGAGCAGCTGTCAACTGCCAGGCGTGCCTCAGGGTAGGGCCTGGAGAGCACCTCATCCAGCCACAGGCACCTGTGTCTTATTATCTGTAACCAGAACAAATCACTTAATTATTTTGAATCTAGACTTTCTAATTAGTTACTAAAACAAGCGTCTAAAAACACTGAAATCCATAGAATGCCAGAAAATGTGAAGGAGACAGGGATGGTAGAACACCTGACAGGGCATTCAGAACCCAGCATGGATTCAGGAACACTAGTTTTTAAAAATAATTTTTTTTTCCTCAAAAAGGGAAACCTGAAACTGGACTTTGATGCAAGTGGTTTGTTTGGTAGGTAATTCCAAGAAGCTTCTGAGGTGTAAGGGCTCTGGAGGAGGTATGGATTACGTTGATGAAGGAGGCCTTAATGAGCAGTACACTGTGGTGAGTAGTCACGGCTCCTCTGGGAACTTCTGTGGAACCTGGGCATGCCGGCTGGGATCCATGGACCCCAGGCGTGGCTAAGGAGCTGTGGAACCCAGGGCACACCTGTTGGGAGCTGCCGTAAACTTGCCCCTGTGAAGGATTGGGGGGTTAAGGGGTCTTGCACCAGCAGTAACTGCCATACTTTTCTTTGCCTTTTATGCCACTGATCAACTAACTAATCAAAGAATTTACTAAATGTGAGCTGTGTGCCTTCAGCCAGAAGCCACTATCAGGATAGAGGCATGTCAGAGTTCCCAAAGAGCATACGGGAAGGGAACGGCCTTAGTGAGGACCAGGGACTTGAGAGATGCTTGGAAAAGTGATTAGGATTTGGACATGTATTTGGAAGGGGGACAGAATGGCAGCCTGTGCCTAACAAAACCTTCCATTTACTGATCATGTACAATGGGAGAAGGGAAGTGTTTGTTACGTCTGTGGCCTCATGAGACCCAAGCATCTCACAATGGGAGCAGGGGGTATTTTTACCTAAATGTTGTATTAGAGCTTATTTCTCAAAATCAAATACATTTTAAGTGACATAATGAGAACTTAATGTTAGAGCTCTGAGGCCTCTGACTTTATCCATTAGACTACAGTGGCAAAGAAGCTAAAATAGATTAAATAATGAAAAAGAATTCCTTAATGAAAAATTTAAATAAAAATTAAATAGATTAAATAATGAAGTTTCCAACTAAGAATAAATCAGGAGTGATTTTGTTTTAGTTTCATTTCTGTTACTGTGATAAAATATCTTGACAAAAGACAGTTGGTGGGAGAAAGGGTTTCTTATAGCCCACAATTCCAGGTTACAGTCCAGGATTGCAGGGACATCAAGGCAGGAACTGACGATGTCTGGCTATTTCCCGTCCACAGTCAGGAGAAATGCATGCATGCTCACTTGTCTGGTTGACTGTGCTCAGCTCAAATTATCTACTTTTAAACAGTTCAGGAACCCCTGCTGAGGGACATCGCTGCCCACTGTCAGGCAGGATCCTTCCCACCTCAATTAATCAATACAATCTCCCACAGACATGCCCAACCTGATCTATCCTTCACTGAGACTCTGTTCCTAGGTGATTCTGGGTTGTGTCAAATTGACAATTGACAATTAGAACAACCATCACAGAGCTTGTTAATATATATTATAGCTGTGATGTAAAGTGTCCTCTGCAAAGGCTCATGCATTGAAGGATTGGCCCCCAGGGTAGCATGTTCTGAGCTGGGGATCCTGGAAAGTGATTGGCTCATGAGGGCTGTGATGTAATCAGTGGATTAACCCATTGATAGATCTATCATTTGGTAGCATTCTTGGAAGGTGGTGGGAACTTTTGGCAACAGGACCAGTGAGAGGGAGTAGGTCCCTGGGGTGTGTTCTGGGTATGCTATAGCCTGTCTCTGGCCCCTTCTTTTCCTCTCTCTGCTCCCTGTCCACACAGAGGAAAGCTGCTTTGATACACCACATTCTCCTGCCATGATGTGCAAACATTCCTCAGGCCCATAGCCGTGAAGCCAGATGATCATGAACCCAAACCATGAGCCAGTATAAACCTTTCCTCTTTTTAAACTCTCCCAGGTACCTGTCACAGGGATGAAAAGGCCAACTCACACAGGGCAAACCAACAAGGGTACCAGCTGAGTAGGGACCAGCACATGGCTCCATCATGGAGAAAAGGCAACAGCAGGCAGTTTTGAAGTTTTGCTCATTTGGAGAAAAGAGCTTTGTACTTGCAGAGGGGCAGGAGAGGGTCCGCAGGACAGATCTGGACACTAAGGACCAAGGAGGGGGTTGAAGATGGAGGTGTCCAGAAAAGAATTCCCCTTCTAAGACTCCTGCTGTTGAGCTGTGTCAGGTGGCCATGTTTACTGAGCTGTTCTACCCGCCCCATGCAGCTCTGGCATGGAAGCCCAGCTACAGATGGTGTGTGTTTGAGCTGGAACATCAAGACTTTGTGCTTCAAGCTGCCAGAAAGAGCAAGAAAGGGGATTTGGAGAAACAGCAGCCATGCGTGACTCTGTTCATAAAGTCAGGCATGTCCACATTTTACTCCTCTGTGGAACTTCTAGAACTGTGCTGAGATCATAGCCACGTGTCTACTAAGAACTTGAAATGGCAACAGACCCAAGGATGGCCCTGAACTTCTGCTTCTACTTCCTGAGGGCTGAAATTATAGGCATGCACCACCAAGCCTGGTTTATGCTGTGCTGGGGATTAAACCCAGGGCTTTGAACAGGATAGACAAGCACTCTACCAACTGAGTCATGACCTCACCCTTATATAACATGCTTCAAACACAACATGGACAAAAAAATCCCTCCATACTTTTATATTGGTAACATTTGAAATGATACTTAAATAAAATGCATTGTTAAATTAGTAAGCTCAAATTTACCTATGTCTTACACTCTTAAATGTGGAAGATTTAGATTATACATGTTATTCATGCTATATGTCTCTTGGACATATTCAATCTAGAAAATTTCCTAGCAGTGTGAACTTATACATGGTGACGAACAGTGCTGTTATATCATTGGTATATATAAGTCACCCCAAACTCAGGATGTCTAACTTGTGATTTTTATTACAAATATTTTAAAACGTGCCCCTTTAAAATAAGTCACTATTAACATATTTTTCAAAATGTTCAAACAGAGGTGATGACTGCAGGGGTGGGGGAGTCAGCTTTCTTTAAGGGTATACTCACAAGTGTAAGGGCAGAACAAACTGCGCTACAAAAAAGAAGCTGGGAGTGGGGAGGGCATGGGGTGGAGCTAGGAAGAGTTGGGAGGAGGATTTAGGGGCGA